TCCTAAACTTATGTGATTTTTCGAATCAAATTTGGTTGCTAATGTATTGCACAACCCTTTAATGTTAGGATTCAACTATGAAATTACTAGAATTGTGACATTCATATTCTTAAGCGAGAAGAATTTAGAGAGATTTTTCAAGCCTAATTCGAAAATTGAGTCAAATTTGGTTAAAAATGTTTTGCAGGATTTTATTTATAATAATGGAAGACAAACCAGAAGTGAAGGAAAAGGGTTATGTTCCTGGGCCTGATTATAAGGAAGATAACAAGGAATCTCTAATTGATATTGAGATGAATGAAGATACTGAACTTTGGCTTATTCAGTTGCCTGATGATCAAGTAATTTTCTTCCCCTCTCAATTAAACTAATTTGATTTTTTCTCATGTGAATTTTTTTTCTTTGTTGTTTAATTTTGATTATTATTTTTCAAAACTTAGAGGTGCCATGTTAATATTGTCTTAATTTTAATGTGTAGGAAAGTAAGCCCTCTGTCCGTATTTGTTTGCCTTGTTGCACTTTTGTGGGTCAAAAGTACTTTCTATAAGAAGTAATCTCTTGTTGGATTTATTTCAACGTCTACTTTTAGAATATCACGTTTTTATAAATTTTGCATAAGTGGGGTTGAAGATATGTACGTTTTAAAATGGTGCGAACAAATAGGGACATAAGGAGCAGTTTTAGAGTAAATGATTTGTTATGTTTGGTGTGAGACTTGATTGATTTATCTCATGGGTTTATGTACTTTTACTCTTCCTGTTAGTATCTCGTTGTGGCGCCCTTGGCCACCTTTTGAGCTTGAAGCCATTTATGTCATTATCTACGTCATTCGGAGTATATATGGTTTGAAATAGTGAAGGCTGGATTTCTGGAGCTTGACCACTTCTTAGAAATCTGACTGTAAGGTTTATTCACTTTTATCATTGAGTAATCTTTGTAATGAGTATTTATTTGATTCTCTCAATCTCAGCTTCTATAGAATATGCATTTTCGACTGAAACTTGATTCCACTTTGATTCCGAGATGGAAACTCGGCATAAGTGCATTACCTGCATGACTAGAATGTATCAGGCTATACCTTACTGTCAAATTTGAGCAACCCCTGTGGTGAAGGTTATTTATTGGAACTTTTTAAGACTTTTCTGGTCGGCTTAATACATATATTACACTCTTAAGCCATTTTTGTTTGCAGGATTTCAGTTGTGAATGTCTTCTTTTTACTCATGCAATGTGGTTGTAGATCAATCTCTTCTAATTATTGTCATAGATTCAATTTTATTGTCTCTTAGGCTCATCTTCTTCAAATCTTCTAATATTTTAAACTGAGAATTTCTCTAAACTGAGAAGTATAGTGAAGGTAAAGAGAGGGAGGATGGGAAAGCATTTACCCACCTTATCACATATTAAATGCTGCCATGATATGATCCTTCATCTTTATCAGCCTCATTGAGTATTCACTGTTATTTCCTGCGTTCTTTGACACCTGATTGGGAATCAGGCATGTAACCAAGGTACAATATACCCAAGATCTGTACAATAATAAATCAGTATGCTAGTGCCCTTTTTTTTTTTTTTTTTCCCCTTCTTCCCTTCTCCTCATTGAAAAAATATTAGATCATAGTGGTGCATGAATGGGTTTGGTCATTGAAAATGACCTGTTGACAAATTTCGTGAGTCTATTCCTAGTTAGCCATATAAAGTGGTTCATTGGTAATCAGAATCCTTAATAAGGCACCTGTTTGCTTTTTGTACCTGGCACTCTGGCAGTGTAGGATGGTCAAATGAATTCAAGTATAACTGTATAATTTTGGTGTTCAAGCTTCCTTTTTCTGGTAGATTAAGTTTTTATTTTTTCATTTATTTTCTGGAGTCAGCCTGGTGGCTATGTAACCTCAGCTAGATGTGGCACTTAGAGTGATTAAGTAGGGGATCAACTTTTATTTTATTTTTGTATACTTTTTCAGATGAAATTATGCAACTGGTACAGTACTATAACGGTTTTATAGTACAAAGAAGTTCAACACATGGATTTTGCAGGAAGCAAATAATGGAGAGAAATAAGTGGGCTTGTCAATATAAAACTCTGTGTGTATCTCCAACTTAGAATTTAACTTACAAAGAACTTGTAATGGCAACATGGAATAAAAGAGAAGGAAAATGCTTAGGATTTGTTGAAGGGCTGCTAAGCTATGTGTGCTTTGCATATTAACACTTGGGAAGGCGTGGTTGGATTAATTGGATCATGTCTGGATTTAGCAATTAGCTTTGACATTGTGCATTTTACACCCTCTAAATAGCGGAAGGTGGATTGGCCCCTTTCTCATTTGTTATATAGATATTCTATATGGCTACTACTGATTAGGCCTAGATTCAAACCTTGAAAGTGATACCTAATTATTATCCACTAAAATGGCCTGTCTTGTGATTCTGGCCAGAATCATAACATTCTTGCTTACACTTGTTCCTTTGTCCTTGAAGTAAATTAGCATTTGCCTTTTTGGATGTCCCATTTCTAAATTAACGTTCTTTTAGTAAAGCTTATCTATTAGCTTTTACTTTATAATTGGCAGCCTTGGGTCCCACTATCACGGACTTTTATTCATTTATACTTCCTATCCTCCTCAAATAACCTAGGTCTAAGACAGAGTGTAATTTTTATTATAATCTTCCTGAAGATAAGTGTCTTTCACCAAGATGAATAATTTTTTTTTGAAGAAACCAAGATGAAAATAGTTTTTGCACTTCACTTGTGCAATGTAGAATGGGATTTCAAACAGGAAGGCCGTTAATGATGAGTGTAGTCTTTTTAAGCTATTTGAAACAAAGCTGTACAATCTGTTATAGATTGGGGTTTTCATTCTTTTAAGTCAGTCGTTTCTCTAAACAAGTGATCGTATTCTGTTTCCACATTTGCTGGTTGCCTATACACTATAACTTCGAGTAAACCAATTGTTGCTTACTGTTCTATCCACTTGGCTTGCACTATCTTTAATGCCTATCTTTGACCATTGATATCTATAATAATGTGTTTGGTAGAAATGAAAAGCTGACATTTCAGAAATTTACATTGAGACGAATCTAACAAAATCCCACATGCTAGTGTTTCTTCTTTTATATACTTGGTATATTATCATAACATATGATGGAATGGAGGGAGTACTAAGTAAATGTTAGTAAAAGTAATATGTGTGAGGCAAATAGTGCTATGAATCTATGATTGTTGTTTCTACTTCTTCTTGTTATTTCTACTTTATTATTATTTATTTTATTTGTTTTTGGGTCGAATTGAATATGGGTTGCGCAATGGATTGTCTTTTTCTTACAGGCTGTTTGTTGTTTGTATAGTTTCCTGATTTTGATGGGCAAACTGTGTCACTGAATCTTGATGGAGATGGACATTTGGGTAGTCTTGAAGGAAAATCTGGTATTTTTCGCCAACCCTGTCAAAGCTAAAACAGAATAAATTTCATATGCTACCCTAGCTACCTCTTGATGGTTGTTTGTTTGTTCCAGGTAAAGTTTATAATTTGGTCAACTATCCCTCTGAGACGGATGATGTCACAGTCTTCCTATCCTCTCCATCTGGGCCAAAAGTTGGTATGTCTGAATTTTTCGTTTCGAGTTTCAATTATTGAAAATTTTGGAAAAAGAGAACAAGAAATAACACCTCTAAATGATAAGATCAGTTAAACTTGTATTGTAGAAGCTCATAAACAGAGGAAAACTTTGCTTATTAGCTCATTACTTTTGTTGGAAAGTACTTCTATTTCAGCTCATATGTAAAGAGCTAAATATTGATGCTATAACTATAAATAAACCTTTTAGCTTATCAGCTGAAAGTTAAGAACATTGCTATACAACAATTTTATTCTCAAACATCAATCTAGTTGGGGTGAGGAGCCACACCCCATATGTTTTCTCTGCCTAATCTGTATCTGTTTTCCTGTCAGCTGGGAAGATTTCACGGCATGTCTCGCTGGTTCATTTTCCAGATCCAAATGAACTAATAGCCCTTGAAAATGATACAAAAAACCAAGGACCGATGAGCTCCAGGACTTCAATGACAACCTCTTCTCATCACTTTTCGACTCCTCCTAGGAGTCAGAGAACTCCACATTCACAAAGTAGGAGCCGATCTACTAGCAAAAGAAGTTCTCGGTCTGAAGTCACTGATGCATCGGAATTTTCAAAAAGAACCCATGCTGAGCCATCGAGGTACAGCAATCAATCTGCTCAAGACTCGGGGCGAGGTCGAAGTGATGTCACCGTTTCAGGCACCTCAGAGCTGTCACATCGAAAGAAATCAAAGAGGAAGACTGATAGTGAAGCTTGATACTGTTTGTAATTTGTTGAAAAATGCATGAAGTTCATTTTCACAATGAGATTGCAAGATTTCAATAGATTAGATCCTGAATTTTGTGTGTTTTCGCACCTATGACATATCATTAGATACAAAGTATTTTGTAAGAATTGCTTTTTAGTATGCAGTTTGAGTTTCTGGCTTCTGATTAAGCCTCTGGTTTAAAGTTTGGTGAATAACCTGATGTGAATTACCAAATCTAAGTTAATGGCTAATAATGATTAATTTCTAGAAAAAAATGTTTAAGAAGATGATTATTCTAGGATAATTTTTTAAAATAAGCTAGAAAATAACTCTTAAGTTCAGTAAATTTACTTACATACGTAAATCACCATTTTATTTCCCAAAATAACAAAAACAATAGTCTTATAGTTGGGAAAAAATTATTTGAAGAAACAAATTAGATAATTATAAATCCTATGAGAAATATTTAAATAGAAAATACTAGTTTATAAACAAAATACTTGTATATTTATCAAATGACAAAACTGTAAATGATTCAACAACTTTTTATTAAAAATGTACCTACATCAGTTGATTAATTTACAAACATATCATGATGACTAAAGATGAACAAATATGCCGTGATGACTAGCAAAATTGTTAATTTATTTACCGTTTGCCATTTGATAAACATTTTCACAAAGAAATGAAGCAAGTAATAAGCGTACGGAGTACTTGATTTGCAAATCAAATTCAAGGTGAAAAACTTTCATTTTCTCCTACTCAAAATTAGCGAAAACTCAAATCTGGCATATAGCACTGCTCATTTTCTATTTTCCATTTTCCATTGACGTGTACTCTGAATCCTCCATTGATACGGCTTCTGCGCTTTCTCTCCATTGAAGCAGCTTCTGAGTAAGTTTTTTTTATTCTTTTTTTCAATAATCGAATATCAATTTCATAATCTAAAATTTAGTTTCATAGTCAATTTAGGGTTCTTCTAAGGTAGACTAATGAACTTTTGCTTAGGATTACTGAAGTTTGGAAGATTATAACTAGCGATTTTGTTGCTAGAATTTTCCTATGTGCAAATTACGTTTATATTCTTAATCGAGAAGAATTTATGCGTTTTTTCAACCCTAATTTTGGTAATTGATTTGAGTTTTGTTGCTAAAAGGCTTTTGTTTTGTATATTTTCAGCCAATATTCATTACATTATCCTGTATTTTCAGCCAAAACATAAAAAAGATCCATTTTCAAAGTTCCATATTTGAATTTTTGATAATAAAAATAAATAAGCAATTTAGAGGTCAAACATCTAACAAATTATGCATGATTGCCTTTTGGAATTATTGGTACTTATAAGTCCGAACCCCCCCCCCCCCCCCCTTTTTTTTTTTTTTTTTTTTTTTTTTTTTTTTTTGTGTGGCAGATGAAGTTCCTGGATTGGTATGTGAAGATTGCAGTGGGCTCTGCCATGATTGGAGCTTCCATGGAGTTTTTCATGATTAAAACTGGATTCTGTGTGAGAAATCTCCATTTCTCCTTTCTTTCTGTTTTTTCCCGAAAATATTTCATTTTTTCTTAGTTCTATTCATGTACATTTTGCATTCAGAATATGATAAAGTGCCCACTTAGCAATGTACAATTTAACTGATGAATTGCCTCCATTTATCATGCTTTGTGAAGTGATATACACAAAGATCGATGATCTATATGAACTATGAATATTCCTGCCGCTCTTATGGCTAGTATATATATTGCCAAAATTGGTGAGAATTTCAAGATGATGATTTACCGCTCATGCCGTTGAGAAGTTTAGTTTGTTTGCTTTATCAATCCGGACTTAATAACTGCCATCTTCTCTAGTATCCAACACCCAGGGACCGTGAAAGCTAAGGTGTCGTAGTTGCCAATTGACAAGACCCAATGTTCTATGGGGGCTTGCTTATTTACCTAATTTATTCATTAATAAACTTGAGTTCCTTTTGTGGGTAGTTTTGGATCATACTATTATCAAACATCTGATTTTAGTTATAAATTATAACTGACCAGAATGAGAGCCCTTTATTCAATAGCAAGTTATTCCAGCTATTATAATGTTACTACAATTAAAGTTGATTTAGGATTTGTCTTTACTATTAAGAAGGGTTTGACCTCATGACCCTTCGAGAATAAGTCTGATATGTGGTTCTAATTTTAGTATCTTTTAACTTGGAGCCATTAGCAGGATTTTAAATTGGTATTGATGAGAATGTTGTACATTTGGTGCTCTGAATATTGTTAGGACTTTGCAGTTTTTATAATTTGCTAGAGCTGTGTGGGCTATAGGATGATTACTATCTTATCTTATTGGGGAAGTAGCCGCTGAAAGAAAACTGAGATATTATAGGTGTTGTGTCTCATGTTCACTTTACCTGACCTGCCTATTATGTGATATTAGATACGTAACATATATTTGTGCAAGGTTGGGTATTGATAAAAAGGGATGCCTCACATTTTGATGCCATGCTCATAATTGAATGGCTATTGTTTCAAAGTACCATGATGGATAATGTAGTAAATTCCTTGGTATCTAACGAGCTTGTTGGTGGAAGTGTAGGGAGAGGACGAGTCATTACTCATTACTACTGATATTCTAGTTCTCTGTTTTGACAAACAATGAATCTCCTTTTGGTTTCCACCTTCCATCTTCACCATCCAATATTTTTATGTGCTCTTATGTGTAAGAGTTAGTCTCTTTTTTGGTGCCTAATAAAAAACTAATAGTCCTGGTATAGGTCAGAAGCATTGTTAATTTGCTAGTGCAAGATTGGTTACTGGAATGTGATTCACTTAGGTTTGTAAATTAGGCCAAAATTTATTACTCTTATATTAAGTTGCCTTTTTCAGTTAACAGTTCATGGGGGAAGGGGGGATTATAATCAAAAAACACTGGTCATTAGGTCATTGCCAAGGTCAATTGCTGCTTAATTTTCCAAAGAATCCTGAGTCTACCTCTTAATTTATCCTTTTCATTGATATTTTACACCTCCCTTCTTGTTAGTGACATAGCCCTTGGTTACTTCAGGATAGCTGCTTTATTCATGTTGGCATGTGCCAATTCAACCTCCTCAGGTCTGGTAGTCTGGGTGTAATATCTATTATGCATCTGGGTGTACCTAGAGCTATATCTTGCTCAATTGGATGGGTACAATTAAAAACCTTTGGTTGTTTAAATTGTATTAAGTACATTTGCTTCACAATTGAATGCAGACTTGATAAGGTGAGCTCTTGAGGATGCTATTATCCATGTTCAGATCCTGATAGTCATCTGAATTAAAGTTTTATGTTGGACATCAGGACATGTCTTGGTAGCCTGAGTGCTCGAGGATATATTGCTGATGTCCTGTGCTTTAGATGAAGGGTTTCATACCTGGAATATAGTACATAGCTGTGGTTTGGGGGGGGTTTACTTGTTTTAGTTGTTTTCTAGATTTGTGTTGATGGATAAAGACATAGGGTAAATAGTCCTTCCGGCCTGTTTGCTAGGGATTTAAAGGGTGATTATATTAATAAGCCTAAAAAACTTGTGAGACATTAAGCACATTCATATGTCAATTGTAAAACAAGTTTCAAGTATTCTGAAGTGTATGTGCATTGTGCAATGTGAATTTAGGTAGCTTTCAAGTTTCCTAATGCTTTTTATTTATTTATTTTTTTCAATGCAGATGACAAGGTAACAGTTCTGGAATCGGAAAAGCGGGCTTGGGAGAATTCGCCTGAAGCTCAGGCTGCTAGAGAGGCTCTAAATCCTTGGAGACATATTGATGCCAAAGAAAATAAAAATCAATAACTTGTTTGTAGGTTACTGTTTGATTTACACAATATGGTGTTATGTATTTTGAGGGATTATTCTTGTCAAACAAATTTATTAAGAAAGTAATGATTCTATTTGACGTCTCTGGTTTGAGCTATTATGTTCAAGTTATTATTTTTTCGTAAATCTGAATTAATAATGTTTACTTAAAAAAAAATAAAATCAGATGTTATGATGGACGATTTATCTAATTTTCAGGTGAATCAAGCATGAACCTTTTGTAACAATATAGTGCCACATTGAATAGAGTGTCAAAAGTTGGCCCAACCCGAAAAATTTACTTAAATCCGATTATTAATCGACCTGTTTGAACCCGGAAAAATGGTGACCCGAACTCGATATGACCCAACCTGAAACCAATCCTAGACTCGAGTTAACCCGAGTATTTGAGACCCGAACCCGAACATGAATCGACCAGAAGATGACCTGACCTGAATATAACCCGTAAATTATCGACCTGAACTGAACCCGACCTGAACCAAGATTGACCCTAACCCGTTTTAATCCGTCAAAACCCGAATTTAACCCGACCTGTTGATGTGGATTTAAACCCCTTAACTTAATAAAGAATCTAAAATCACACAAGTAACAAAAGCCTTCCGAATTTCCTAAGAAAATCGAACAATTTAAGAACAACGAACCAGATATGACTTTCAAAACGACCACTCCTGGAACGAATTCAATGCCTATTCAAACTACCTAAACCACTCCTGGAACTAAGTATTTTGATGAACAAAACTTAAACTACTCCTAGAACTAAGAATTGAACGTTCTTATTATCAAAACAACTCCTTGAATTGAAAACTAGCAAAGAAAAGTTTAAACAAAGTTAAACAATTTGTATTGAAATTAATCTGATTTTTTTTCTCTATCTAAAAGCCACGAAAATACCTCCTATTTTTGGGCATAAGAGGCAACTAATTCTACTCCTACAAGGATTAGGACAAACCCCTAACCTTGTTCCCCAAGTATCCTAACTAGAATAGAATTACTACTTCTAACTAGAATAGGAAAACTAATCCTAAACAAACTCTAATTAACTAAAAATCTTCCTAACAACCTTAGGAAGTTTATAGAACTAAATAACAGAAAATAAAACTTATCCTAAGTGCTCAAACCAAGAAAAACCCTTTCAAGTGAAAAGTAAAAACTTGCAAGCAAAACTTTAGAAATAAACTAAGTAAGAAAATCATTCTTTTCATATCGCCGCCACCACACCACCACACGCGCCATCCAAGGTGACACGCGCCACACCAGCGTGTAGCTGGGCTTAGTCCGGTGGTGGGAAGCCAGCGCGTGGCCACCGTGCTCCTCGCCGGAAGTGAATTGCTCCATTTCTTCTTCTTTGCAAATCATGCTTCCTTTTTTCCCTATTGAACTAGTAGACCTTTCCTTATTTATTTCCTTGTTTGGGCAGCTCATAATGAAGCTATTTGGACCTTCTAAAAGTGTCTTGGACCTTTCAAAAGAATTAGCCTCTTGATTCACATCACCTGTTCCAACCCAACGAATTCAAACCGACCTGTTACTAACCCGACCCAAATTTAACCCGACCTTTTACTAACCCGACCCGAAATTTAACCCGATCTGTTACCAACTTGACCCTAAATCAACACGACTTGTTATTGACCTGACTCAAATTCAACCCAAATTGTTCCTGACCCATTATAAACTCAACCTAACCTGTTATTGATCTGACTCGATTTCAAATCACCTTAAATTCAATTTAGACCACCTTATTAACATATAGTTACATAGTTACGTTGTCACTTGTGTAGTTGTGTGCTTCTGCAAACGAGTTAATATGATAAGCTCAATAGTTAATAGTTCAATACATACGACTCTTTACATATATAGACTTATCTGAAATTGTTTCCTAAAATGAGTGGAATCAATGAAAAATAGATCAGAATAGGGTCTTCCAAATCTTAACTAAACCTATCTTATTGGAATTAATATGAACTTATTATATCTTATCTTAAGTTTACATGATCTCATTAGTTCGAATTTAAACTTATATAAAATTATTTATCCTAAAATAAGTGAAAAATGTAATAAATGAAGAAATTGATAATGATAAAACGTAAACGTCAATGCATGAATTGTTAACAAACCGACCCGAAAAATGTACCTGAACTCGATGTGACCCGACCTGAAATCAAACCAAGACCCAAATTAACCCAATATTTAAAACCCGAACCCGAACATGGCCTGACTTGGAAATGACCCGACCTGATTATAACCCGCAAATAATTGACTTGAACCAAACCCGACTCAAACCCGAGAATGACCCTAACTCATTTTAACCCGTTAAAAACCGAATTAAACCCGACCTATTATTCACTCGACACAAATATAACCCGACCTGTTATTGACCCGACTTAAACCCGACCAAAAACCTGATAAGATGTATGACCCGACGTGACCCGACTCAAACATGACCCAACCCAAACCCGACCTGCATAGATTACGATATTTACCCGAATTGATCCGACTCGAGTTGACCCGACCCAGACTAACCCGACTCAAACCCGACTCGTTGACCCGAATTGACACCTATGGTAAACATGCAACGTTTTGATCTTTTCCATTATTCATTTATCATCTTTGATTACATTTTATACATGTATATATAATGTATAGTTTCTAAATATGCTTTTTTAATAGTAATTTGTTTAAATGTTTATTCCCTATGCAAAAATTAAAGGTCAAGATGGTGTTGGAAAGTAAGAAAATTAAACCGTTTCATTTATTGTGAAACATATTAGTATTTCCGTGAGCATCTATATTATAATTAACAATTAGTGTGTGGCTTGGGTTGCTACTTTAATCAAATCTTGTGATTATATGTATTTAGGACTTGTTTTCTTCAACTTGCTTCAGATACTTTTTACTTATTCTTAATAAATTCATATCAGATCAGACCACACCAAAAACATTTCAGATCAAATTATATCAAAACTTTGAATTATCATACTTATTGCTAAATATCGTTAATTGCGTATTAAAAAAATTATGATAATTACATATTTAAAAAGTACATGATGAGATGAATATAACAAAAGCCAATTTGATGATGTTTTTCTTTAGTATTAAAATGCGGTCAAAGTTTAGTCAAATTACTAAATCAGATTAGATCGGATAATTCATATTAGACTAGATTAGAGCTTATTAAGATCAGATCAGATCACATCTTTTTATTTCAGATGAAGAGAACAAGTCCTTAATATTTTTGGTATTTTTTTCCTTTTTTAATTAGTGCCCGTGATTTGCAATTATATACCTTTATTTTCATATTTATAACATTGGCATAAATGGATAAATAATTATTTTTAATTAGTGCCCGTGATTTGCAATTATATACCTTTATTTTCATATTTATAACATTGGCATAATGGTTAAATAATCATTTTTCTTATAAGAGGTTGGGTGTCGAATCTACTTATCCTTATGTTTTTATATGGAGTGATAGTGACGTGGCAGTAAGGTTGAGTGATGATGTGGCACAATGAGAGGTTTAGTAGGTGATGTGGTGTAAGTGAAAAGGTCTATGTGACACATAGATTTTCTTTTAGTATAGGTCATTTTTACAACGCTTCACCTCAATCCTCCAAAACCCCAATACGCAATTCTTTTGTTTTGTTTGTTTGTTTATTTATTTATTTATTTTTTAATACTAGAGTGTAACTATGCTTATGCACGGGATATATCATATATGTAGTATGTATGTTTAAGGGGAAAAAAAAAGTAGAAGTGTAAGTTATTAAAGGGCGGTTATTGGTTATTTTTTTTTTTAAATGAGTGATATGGGTAGTTATGAGTAAAAAGGGTGGTTTTTGGTTATTTTTTATTAATTAAAAATAATAACATAAAAGGGTTAGATTTTAATTGAGTGATATGGGTAGTTATGAGTAAAAAGGGTGGTTATTGGTTATTTTTTTAAAGAAAAAAAAAGGGGCTAGAATTGCAAAGATCGGAATTTGGAGTGCTGTGAATGAAAGTTGGAAAAACAACTCTTAAATTATATATAAGATTCATTACTCTCTTTGTTTTGTAATAATCGCAAAAACTTCATTTTACATATGTTTCATAACAATTGCAACACTTTAGCCCTGTTTTTTAGGCTTTTGAGCAGAGTAGGTGTCAGCAGAGCAAGACTCAACAGAGCAGACCTCAACAACTTAAAAGAAGAGGACCTTCCTCATTTGGTAACCATTGCAATTTTATTACTCCCACTAACCCTACTTTTTACAATTATTCTATTATTTCCTTGTCCTATCAAGTCCACTTACGTTACTTTTTATTATTACTCTCTCACACTAACTGCATTTTATAAAAATCCTCTTTTAACCCCCACCTTCTAATTTTCCTAAACTTTGTGCATAGCCTAATGTTGTGATAATTACAAAACAGATGGAGTTTTGAATGTTGTAAATGAATCTCTAGGTTTTAAAATGTTACAATTTTACAAGCTTGTCATTTAAATAAACCAAGAACTATCTATTCCACTAATTTCCTAATTTTTTTCAAGAGAGTCCAATACCAATTATATCATTTTCTTTCATAAATAACATATCCCGTGTATTAACACGGGTACACTTTATACGAAATCCGACAGGCAAGTGAGTTAGAACCGTAAAGACCACTCCCTAGTCTCCCTCCATCTTTGTGCAACAATTTGGTACAATCGTGCAAAAGCGGTTAACGTGCAATTTCAAATCTCCTACTTCTTCGGATCAACCAACCATTTTAAATTCAAATTCTTCTGATCAAAACAAAAACCCAGATGACAGATTCACCCACTAATCCCACATTTGATTTCCACGATCACCAAAACAAAATCCATGAAATAAACGACCTTGAAATCAAAATCCCAGTTGAAATTGTAAGTGATGAAGAAATGGCTTTCATTGAAGCTGCCTTTTCCTTAGCTTCTCGCCGTTCTTCACTCTCTCTTTTCTGTTCCACCTCTTTTCAATCTATTTCCATTGCTTCTAATAAAAGATTCTCCACTTCAATTGTATGTAATGATTTCGAAGATTTGGGTAAAACTCAAAGTCCCAAGAAAAAGAAGAACAAAGTTTTTGAATCCCTTTTGAGTAAATATAGAAGTAATAGGGGATTGTCTGTCACTGATTTGACATCTACGGTAATTGGTTTTTTTTTTTTTTTTTTTTTTTTTTTTTTTTTTTTTTGTTGATTTGATTTTAGTTTTGTGTTTATCAAAATGGGTTTGATTTGTTTTTGTATTATTTGATGATTTACTTTGTTAATTTTGATTTTGTTTTTAGTAATGTAGTATCGGTTTATGTCAAGAAATGATATTGTAATGTTGTTATTGAATTTGGAAACTTTTGCTTGCTTTAGAATTTTTCAGTGTAATAATGTAGTTATGTTTTTGATTGAGCAATGAATTGATCAGTTTTTTATGCTTCTTTGTATGAATGGACTGTTTTATTAACCGAATTCGTGCCAATAGCATTTATAAATGTTTTAATTCAATAATACTAGTGATGTAGCATTGATTGACTGATTAGCTTGCTGTAGAAGTTTTGAGTATAGTGTAGGAAAGGTTTTGAATTGGCTGCTGGAATGATCATTGCTTCTTTGTGTGTGAGTGGCATGGGTTCGTAGCCGAAGCCAATATTGATTTTATTGCCATGATGTTATTGAAGTTGGAAGCTTTAAGAAGTGATTTAATTCAAGAATTTAAGGCATTTGCGGGATTTGGTGAATGGATATAAAGTCAAAATCTTTTGTTTTGTCTGGAATTTTCATTCCTACTTAATTTTAGTCTTCTAGATGTATGTATGTCTAACTATTGTAGTCCTCAGTAATACTAAGTCAGTTGCTAAGAGAGTGTCTATCTTCATTTTTGGTGAAATTAATATGTTTGCAACTATTAATCATGTGAAACATACATATGTTCAAATGACTTGTTTTGCATTGAAGTTGAAGCTTGTAGGATGACTTGTATTTTTGATCAAAAGATATTGAATAAAATGAATTTTATTTTGGATTAGTTAGAAAAATCCTTACTAATATACTTTGAGTAAAATCAATGGTCCAATTTTGTCCTTTAAAAAAAGGATGTCAACTCTTTGAGGGGTGGAGGAATTGGGTTTTGAAAATTAAGCTAATGGGATACATAAATGAACGTATCCATACAATTAACCTTTGCACATCGAGATTCGGGAATTGATTGGTCGATAGGCTGATAATTTTAGTTTGTGCTTTAAGCAATTGTAAATTGCTTTGTCGAGTGACTGATTGATGAAATTGAGTGAAAGCAATGCACATACTTAGTGACAGAAGTTGAATAGAAAGGTCTTAGATAGCTTGCCTCACCTAAGAACATGTATAGGCTACCTTTGGCATTATAGCTTTTTTGCTGCTTAAATCAGAGAAGCTTTCTTAGTCTTTGTGCTGCTTTTGTTCAATTGATTTTTTTATTTTTTATTTTTATAAAAAACTATATAGACAATGTCTCCTTGCCCCTCCCACCTCCCCTCTTCCGCCGCTGTATTAACAAATAAGGGAACAAAGATAAAGAAAGAAACCATTCATATCCAATAATTTTAATGAATTGTTGTTTTCTTATGTATTTGTGAAGTAATAAGTTCAGTCAGCTACCTTTTTAATTAATGGCCTAAGTTTTTTGCAATGGTGGGGAATTAGGCTAGAACCATGTTGCAAGAAAGACTTTGTAAATATGAGACCCCTCTTTACGAAAGGATCTCAGAAGTATTTGGTGGTTCTGGCTTTTGAACCTGTTAACTTATTGGTCTACATACATTATTCAAGTTTCTACTCCTTTTTTTTTATATAATAATTAGAAAACTAGTGTTATTGCTACCTGAGCAAGTTATTCGCTCCTTATTATGATTCTTTATCATATCTGTATGAGTTTTATGTAATATATGCAATCTAATTAATTGTAGTAAACATCATCTTCTAACTTGGATGTGTTTTATTTTTGTTTGTTGATTGTTACCAGTGGTTTGGATTGGCCTCCATTTGGTTTTAACTGTCAATGACCATGAACTTAATCAGATAGTACTTATTTTGTTTAAAACTTGTAGGAATGGTGTGAAAAACAAATGGAGTTCCTTCTCACTTATGGTAGGCCAGAAAAGACAAAAGCTATGAAAGCTGGGATTGCTCGGCATGCAAAGTTAGAAGAAGAGGTAATGTTTGTTTCAAACTGGTTGCTAAACATGATCTTCCCGGTAATTATCAAGCAACTCATGGTTTATATCATGATCTTTCTTAGCCTATTCTTGCTTCTTACATAGCTGCACTAGTTGAGGTCCTGTTAAACTATGGGGTACTTTACTCTGGTCAAGGTGTATGATTTGTTGTGCTTTCGCATCGCGGATATGGGCTCAGTGGCTGCATAAGCTATCTCCAACTAACATCACTAGTCTTAGGACTGAGGAGTGACTTGTAGCAAATGAAAATAAAATTAGACTTAATTATTGAGTTTTGATTTCCTAGTTGCCTGATTGTATTGAGCACCTGAATACTAGATGCAGACAGAATTAGCATGACCAACCACTGGAAAGAATCAGACCGATAGGTTATATGCTCTTGAAGCTACATTCCATTAGAATATTTCACAGTTACCTCATGTGTCTATCAATTATATTTTTGGGAAAATTTTTGTTTTTGAGAACACTCAATAAAGGGATAATGATAGGAAATACACTGTATTAAGGTAAGAAAGACATTGCCTTTATCAGATTGGCAAGATTTGTAGAATTAATCTAAAGGCATCGATTGTTTAAGCTTTAAGTGGCTTTCCTCTTCATGGATCTACTTTTGTATAAGCATATTGCATATAATTATCCTAAATTCTGTGGTTACTGAGGCAAGGCTATATACATCTTTTTTTATACCCTTGGCAGTTTTCACTGTGTCGTTCTGTGTAATTTGTTACTTACTCGAAACTCTGTAAATCTAGAAAAGGGCATGTTTTAGCAATGTTAATTGTGTTTAATTTCAAATGTTCAATCGGATTCTTATTTCCTTGTTATTTGATGTTTGAAGTCTTTTTCCATTTCTACGTAAGAAAAAGGTGTGATATCTTTGCATACTGGTGGTTAAGATACTTACCTTTCTTATCATTTTATGACAGTTGCACTATGTGATGTATGGCAGGTATCAAAAAAAGTAGAAGTACGTGTTGAGACACTTGAAGATATATGGGCTTTGAAGTTTATAAATTTTATCATCTGTGCAAACCAACTATTGTTTGACGGTTTAACACGAGAAATCCCTGTGTAAGTGGCTATATTATGTATCTTATTCTGACTTTTGCAATGACGCTTGTCATTTGTGAGTTTGTGACTATTGAATACCTACAGACACACATAAATCTGTCAATCACAGATTAAGAACAATTAGAGTTTTGTTTTGATGTGAGAATCTATTATGTAGTAATTGGTTATACTTGTGTCTTGGTTTTGATGAGAATCTATGATGTAGTGATTGGTTATACTTGTGCCTTGGTTTTGATGCTTTTACATTGATACCTCTAGCAAAACACTAATTTGTAGTCTTTTTTGTGAGTTTTTGTCAGAAATTTGATTTATGTTAGGTTTGTCATGTTTTTGGATATAAACAATAAACCTCCAATGTTCCAAAGCTCAAGAGAATGATACTTACTCTGAACTTTGAGAAGTAAATCAAATTAAAATGGAACACGACAAAGCATACAATCTGGCTATGGACTTAATCTTCCTAGGTCAAATAGATTTTACCTAGGGTGGTTAAGAAATAGGATTGTGCACTAATTAGATACGCCAGCACCGTTTAGCTGCTTTCAACTATGTTTGTAATATCCTGATCTCCCTCTTAGATCTATGTTACACCACTTAGAAGATTAAAGCCTGATTCCACAACAAGAGTAATGTAGCACTTGACATGTACAAATCATTTGATAAGAATTAGTTGTGTTTTCTTTTATATCACTCAATTTTGATAAATTTTACCTTAACAGTTGGCTTGGAACTTGCCCATTTTGTACCTGCACTAATATTAATCCGGGTATGAGCAAGGGATATGGGTTTGAGTCAGGCAAAAAAGTAGAGAAATGGGATGTACTTAGCTGTTGAAATGAAACTGATGGAAGAGAAGCACAATCCTAGCAGGCATTCCATGTGGAGAAACCAAATCTAAGATAAAGTTTTGTGGTTAAGACTATAGAATCAAATCCCAATAAGAAAACAGAAGACCTATAAATTAAAGGATCGTATTATCAACAGAAAGGACACAAGCTATGGGTTTCTGGCTTTGGGAAGAGGCAACTTCATTGGAGAATTTTTACTTGCCTGTCTCTGGTTGTCGTTTGTTTTGGGGGAGGATACGATGCAGTGAGAATTACAGATAGATTTACTAATTGTGCTTCTTGTCCCTCTTAAGCCATAACCATAACTTGCTTCTAGATGACTTGATCTGGTCCTCTTTTAGCAGAACAACTTCATTTTTCTCCAGCCTCCTCAGCTTGACTTATGGGCTACGACAAACAAGTTAATTCTAGCTCATCATGTTTTAGCAACCGCCACACCCCCCCCCCCCAATCATGGTCTTTGGCAAATAAGGTATCTAAGTGCAACTGTGCAAGCAACATAGTAGAGTATCTGATTCTACAGTCTGCAAAAGTTTTGTAAGCTATTACTCGTAGAGTATCTGATAAAAGGTCTTTAAAACAGATTGGCAGTCCTCATTTGGTGCAATTCATTAACGACTTGCATAATAAACCTTAGTTTATACTTTTATCACTGTATGTAGCTTGGAAAGTGGCTCAGTTGTTTAGGCACCTCTGTGGTAACTGGTAAGTGTACTAAACATGTTCATGGAAGTAGATTTGCAAGTCAAAGTAGATTTTGGCTATATTTTTTATATAATATCTTGGTCTTATATTTTGTTGTTTTTGGCAAACTGGAATAGCTTATGGTATTGGCTGTTCACAATCCCTTTTGTTTCCTTTATTTTATTTTAGCTTCCAATTGTTATGAGGTACTCTTTTGAAACGTCTGTTAAGCAATACTCCGTTTTTTAATATTTCTTATTCGGTTATACATACAGATGTTACGTTGATATATCATGTCAGTTGTGTATATAATGCAAGAATCAAATTAATACATGTATGTGTTAACATTACAAGGCATTTATCAAAGAACAAGAGAGTATATTTCCGTTTAGATTAAATTCTCTTTAACTGTCCTTTACTTCAATGGATCTTTATAAACCAGCCCCCGGCCTTGGCTTTTTTCTAGCATGGGCTTGTTTGGGAACAATAAGAAAAAGAAAGTTTCTGATTTTGATCACATTTGTTATACCATCAGAGTTGGCCTTGTTCAAGGTGTATGGATGGTGGGAGTGATTGATGAACTCCGGATGCCTGATAATAGGGAAGGAAGAAAGTTAACATTAGTTGATACAAAGACACGTGGTCAACCAAGGCTTCCTGCTGAACCACAATGCAGAAATGGAAGGTATTTTCTAAGATATGATCATATGACACAAGGCCATACTTATATTAGCTTGTTAGTTTGACAATACCCTTCTTTTATTTACTTTTTTTTTTTTTTTTTTTAATTCTTTCAGGCTACAATTGAAGTTCTATAAGCATTTGTGGGACAATATAGTCTCTAATATCTTCCCTTCTAAACAATTTTATGAACATTTTTCCATGGATCCTCAACACAAATTATCTGATGAAGTGAAGATGAATGCCGCTGATTCAGGTTTCCCTGCTGAGGTATGATTGGGATTTTCCTGTTTAAATCACTAATTGATCATTGTCAGAATATAATTATCTTGGGGGGGGGGGGGGGAGTGTTCTTGATTGGAGTAAATGAGTAATCCTTCCCTAAAGGAGATCAGGGCCACTGTTGGGGGTCAGGAGACATTTCAGGTGGATGGTGTATTGGCGTGTACGCTCCCTTTACTATGACATATCTAACTATTCATAGCTACTTTGTTATTACAGTCATATTGGAGTTGTTTTCTGTTTAGATGTACACTACATTGATAATCTTAATTCTTCTGCTGGTGTTTTGTTAATCAAAATGCTCTATTAGATTGCAATACTCTCTTCAGAACCACTCTTTTCTTACCAAGATATAGGGATTTAAGGGGTTCGTTTAGAATATATGGAAACATGCTTCATACATCATAGCTGAAATTTCTTAACTGGGTATGTTTTATATAGGATTCTCTCTTTTGTACTGATAGCTAAAGTTGTTGGCTTATAAAGTTATAATGTTCTCATACGTATGTGCAGACACTTGGAGAAGTTGTAGGATATCTCAATAATGTTTGTTCTGCGCTACCGCCTGCTCAAGATGAACTTCTCTTGAGGTATTGATTGTTATGATCATACCATTATCAAAAACTTTCTTATTGAATTATAAAATATCCTCTTTTCTGATCCCAGGCTCTCATAACCGTAAATACTCTGTTGCTTGATGTTGAGATAATCAATGTATATCAATCTTCTTCAATTCATACATTTTCGACAATATTGTATCCGTGTGATCTAGTAAAAATACATTACCTAAGGTAATGTTTTGTTGGAAGGAAAACGTTTTGAACTGAATTTTGTTTTCAATAGATGGGGAAGTATTAGGGAGAAAAATGTGGCAATTCTTTCTTACAAAAGAAATGTGGGATTACTAATTTCCATTCTTGACAAACAAAATGAAAGAAATTAGGAGAACCCATTTTTTTGGAAAATGATTTTTCCCAACCAAACACAACATTAAAACATAAAGTTGTTAATCATATTCCAATGGCTTGTTTGTCTGGTGGCTTTGCAGATATGAACTTCAAGAGGATAACTCATTGATCGGCGAGGTTAAGTTCAGTTACGATGAGGACTGGCTTAAGGCTCAATTGCACAGCAGCCTTGAGTTTTGGCGGGGTGAGCGAGAAGCCAAATATGTTCCAGAGATGGAAAAGTGGAAGTGTCGATTTTGCCAATACGCAACTGTCTGTCCACAAACTCAAACAAGTTGAAACTAAATCAAATTCTCAATCTAGCACACAGAACAGCTAAAGGTGGTGATCTTTAGTTTATTTTTCGCGTTCTTATTTGCTCGTAGTTGAAATTCATATTAATATCATGAATGCAACGAAAAAATTTCAGCTCAAAGTTATTTCTTGGGGTGCAAATATAGGCAAAAATACATGTGCTAAGGAAGTAGCACTTTGAAATCTGCTTGGATATCAAGCAAATGTTGTACTTCATCATAATTATTTTTATTAGCTAGGTGATTCATTCTTTGTAAAGCACAATTATGTAATTTAATTTTGTATCTGTAAAATTGGTGCTCTTGCGCTCACATTGATTATAGCTAATCAAATACTACAAACAGGCCAAGAGAAATGATCGAAATTTGATAGATTTTAAAATTTTCATTCTCTATACTCCCTTTGTCTGAAATTAGGTTGTTCCAATCAGTCATGTTTAAGATAAGACACCATTTTGCTTAAAATCTCTTTACACTAGTCAAAATTAAAAAGGGAGATTATAATTGTGTATATGGAGAGTATATGATAAATTGTGATTTTGGAGATCGGATTCATTATGTTTTTAATATAGAAATTGAGCAATGTCAAACATTCGCTTACTCCCTAGATAATCAAAAACTATAAAAACTTAATTATAATGGGTTGGAACAATATGACAATAATTAAAAAAATGCAGATATAATCACAACCGTCTGGACCTCATTTACAATTATTCCATCGTCTATTAAAAAACATAACCCCGATAACTGCCACAAGAAGAATTAGAGTCCAAATCTTCTACCCCACAATTTATATTCTCATAAAAAACTGACTACGTACGGAATAGTATTTTCATACAAATTAGAGTGTATCCGTGCTAATATACAGGATATACTATATGTTTGTATATTAAGAAAGAGAGAGCCCCGTTTTCTCGTCATGAGGAACATTTTTGTTCCACATAATGACATTTTGGAAAATAATGTAATGTTTTCACTAGTGGGAACCGTCTATGTGTCATAAGTGGAACTCTGTGAGCTTGACACATACCCCAGGAGGAACAAACTTGTTCCTCGCAACGAGGAATAGGAAATTACCCATTAAGAAAGGAAAAAAAAAAAAGAAAAAAAAAAAGACAAAGTGAGAGATATGGAAGTTTTAATTGTCATCGTTTATTTTTTACACAAAATTCAATTTCCAAACAATCTAAATAACGAAGCTGAGAATTGAAGCAGATGTTTTAAATTATATTCGAGTTTGATTCTCTACTCAACCAGTGTCCTTCATAAAACCTTGACACCAAACTCTGTAAAATCCTGCATGAAAAACACGTGTCACCTCAATTCACCCCCATATTTTGCTACTTATACCACAACTATGACTCTCCAATTTCCCTTAAACTAATTAACTCAATAACAAATCATCATAAACAAAAAAAAAATCATGGGAAGTTTAAAGGGTATATTGTTGGTGGCACTTATAGTGTGCTACTCCATGCAAGTTGTGGTAAGTCAATATGATCATGAAGAAGAGAGGAGGGCTAAGGAGGAAGATTGGAAAAGGAGGGAGAAGACGGCGGAGGAAGAGCGGCGACACCGGCATCGGAGTTGGGATGAGGATGAGGATGAGGATGAGGAAGGGGGGAGGGAGCCGAGGCCGAAGCCGAGGCCGGAGCCGTATGGACCGGGAGGGGGAGGGAAGGGAGAGATGTTTTTGTTAAAGGATTCAAAGAAGGTGGTGAGTACACAAGCAGGGGAAATGAGGGTGGTTAAAGGGTATGGAGGGAAAATTGTGGAGAGTCCACTTCATATTGGTTTTATTACTATGGAACCCCGTTCACTTTTTGTTCCTCAGTACTTGGATTCTTCCTTGATTCTTTACATACGTAGAGGTATTATTCTCTCTTTTCCTATCTTTTTTGTTGCATGATGTACGTATATTCTTATTAATTGTCATGTTGATAGTGTAATTTTTACATTATAATTGTTCTGTCCATTAAAATGGAACATGATGATGTAGGTCCAATTATCCGTATGGTGCATTTGTTAATTCTATATATGTATTTAAATTTTTACATATGATTATATATTTATATGACCGCTAGATATCATTACATTATTCATGTATTTTAACAATAAGAAATTTCTTAGTATTCTAGCTGATATTCATTAATATGAATTCTTGATGTGCATGTGTCTCATGAATTATTGTTTTCATAAATATGTAATCTCTTCATTAGTAGTCTTATAGTGATGGTTTTATAAGTTCGGATAAGTTCAATTTTAAGCTAATAAGCTCGGATTAGTATAATTGAGGACAAATAAGTTTAGATTAGTTTTAATTTATCCCGATCGAGCTATTGAAACTACCCTAAAAAGAGTGATTGTCACCCATAGAATAAAGAAGAGCTACCCTAAAAGAGTGATTGTCACCCCTAGAATAAAGAAGATCTATTGAAACTACCCTAAAAAGAGTTTTATCTCTTTGATTTCATGGCTCATTTAAATGGTAGTTTTCATAGCTTGGATTATTGCTACATATATACTAAGAGAATTTCTATGTTGGTTGAGCTTATGGCTATTACTAAACTCGTTATCAAGGGTGTTTGGATTTAGTTTACATTATTATCTGCTTACTTCCTCAATCATGAAGAGTAATGATAAGGATTGGGCCAACTTCCTGCGATTTTAGATATATTATGTATGTTTCCGAGCTTAGATCACCCCTTAGTCTAAATTGTTTTGTATTGATAGCTACTGAGAAAATTTTGCTTACCAATTCATAGCTAGTAAGAACTTATGTTATAGCTAGAGATAATTTATTGATTTTTGCCTTTTGTGTTCCATTCATCTTGATCCGATAGTACGTACTATGCAGCAATTAAAATTAGTAGCACACACATGGTACACAAAAAGTGCGACGGATGATTTGGTCCTCTAAAGTTCCTTAGAGATCGTGTGCTAATATCATTGAAATGGCCTGGACTTGCATGAAATTTTGAATTCGAACGTAGTGCTATACTTGAAAGACTGTACGTGTGAAAGAAATTTATATTATTAGACGATTACAATTCTGATAATGTAGATGGTATATAATATTTTTATATTTCGTTGTTTAAATTCTTTAGGTGAAGCAAAACTTGGATTCATCTATGATGATAAGCTATCGGAAAGGAAACTAAAGAATGGAGATGTCTACAGAATACCAGCTGGTTCGACTTTCTATATTGTTAACACTGGAGAGACTGAAAGGCTTACTATCATTTGTAGCATTGATCCCTCGGAAGGCTTGGGCTTCGGTACCTTCCAGGTTCGTAAATACTACTTTCGAATGGAGAGTTTTATGTGTTGATCATCCATTTGGTACATCGGTTTATTTTACTAAATTTCTTGTTTAATTTATATTCTCATTAACTAGTTGGATTTAATTTCTTTTTCTGTTCGGCAGTCTTTCTTCATCGGAGGAGGAAGAGATCCTGTTTCGGTGTTGGCTGGATTTGATCCTCGAACTCTTTCCACTGCGTTCAATGTGAGCAAATTAAATCTTCTTTTACTCTTGCTCGGTTTCTTCTTTAGTTTATTTTTGGTCTTCTAAGTGAAATTCAAAGGTTTTACCTTACTTTGCGATTTTATGCACAATTGTCACACAAATTCCTAACTAATTGATTTGTATATGGAAGATTAAATTACAATGTACGCGTCCTAGTGTCGAAGTAAGCTTTCCTATGAATTATCTCCATGATTTTGGTCCATAATCAAGCATCAGGGTTCCTTAGTGATGTTGGAGTAGTGTCGAAGTAGTGTCGAGGATTTAACACGGGTATTTTAAGTGATATGTAGATTGAGTCCAAACAACATAACATGCTGCGCTTTGAGATCGTGAATTAGACTTTGCGATACACCCTATTTAATGACAATATAGCAGTAGGTTGGCAATGCAATGGAAGTAAGGACTCTAAGGAGGTTCTTGCCATGGAAGTAGGTTTGGGTTTATCCAGTTTTAACTTAATGTTAATAGAAGGCTTGATTAAGATGCCGTAAATATTAGTCTTAGAACATATTTGTTTTCACAAATAACTGAAAGTTCTTTGGCATAATATTTGACAAATCATTATTGTGCTGCACTATATATGAAATGAATATAAAGATGTAAAGATTATGAATTACTCCCTCCGTCCCATAACATAGTTCTTGTTTGTGTTTTTTCCGGTATTTAAGAAATAGGAGGAAAAAGTGGATGAAGTACATTAATAAAAGTGAAAAGTACAATTATAGACAAAACTTGAGAGAGAAAGTGGAAAAAGTACAATACATGTGCAAAATTCAAGGGTAATATAGAAAGTACAATGAATAGAGTTAAAAAAAGTGAAAGTATAATGGTCTTTATATACTATCCAAAAATAGGAACATGAACAACATTTTTGATCTCCAAAATAGGAACCAGGAACTATATTATGGGACGGAGGGAGTATTTCTTATCAAGTGGTGATTATTGTTTAATACAAAGTAAATGATTTGGTTAATCTAGTTAGAGACTTGCTTAAATGTTAATTATTATCGTCCAAATTATAAAGGAAGTGTGTGTAACATCTAACTATTAATTCTAAAAATGAAAATTGTGATTTTGTAGGTCTCCATAGGACAGTTAAGGGAATTCATGACAGGTCAAGATGCAGGACCAATCGTATATGCCGATACAACCCATGCTCCTAGTTTGTGGGCGAATTTCCTCAAACTAAAGGGAGAAGAGAGACTAGAACGTCTAAAGATGGTGGCACCGAATACAGGTTCTGATGAGCCTAAAATAGAACAACCCAAGAGTTCTTGGTGGAACATTTTTGATTCTCTACTAGGGACCGAAAACAAGAAAGGGGAAAAGAAGGATGATTCGCGAACAGGTTCTAGTCCAGACTCTTACAATCTTCGTGATCAAAAACCTAGTTTCAAAAACGACTATGGCTGGAGTATTGCTGTTGATAAGCACGAGTATAAGCCACTTAAGAAATCCGGCATTGGACTCTACTTGGTTAATTTGGCCGCGGTAAGTTTTGTTTTGACCTGCCGTAACTTGATCATCCTGTTAGTCTTGATTTTTCTATGTCCTATAGTCACAAGTCATCCAGCTGAGTAATTATCTTTGAGATTTTATTGTCATTTTTTCATGCTGCAATGTTATGATCTACCTATATGGTTTGCCTGTATGCCTGCATATATACATCGTCTCTGTATGATCATTACTGTCAAATGCGCATGCATGATCATTACTGTCAAATGCGCATGCCAGTTAATATTCGCCCTGGTTTCTTTAAGTTGTATTAAAATTTTGCTTATATTAGGTTACTTCCATTCTTTTCGATTAAGATCTTTGCTTGATGTCCCTTTGTTTATATATCTTGCAAGGGCTCCATGATGGCACCTCATGTAAACCCCATGGCAACAGAATATGGCGTCGTCCTATCTGGGGTTGGCACCATCCAAGTCGTCTTCCCTAATGGCACATCAGCAATGAACGCGGAGGTGAAAGAAGGTGACGTGTTTTGGATACCAAGGTACTTCCCATTCTGCCAGATTGCTTCTCGGTCTGGCTCATTTGAATTCTTCGGGTTCACCACCTCTGCCCATGAAAACCGGCCTCAGTTCTTAGTTGGCGCTTCTTCAATCTTAAGAAGCATGCGCGGCCCAGAATTTGCTACTGCTTTTGGTTTGACAGAAGACAGGTTCTATGATATAATAGATGCTCAGAGGGAGGCTGTCATCCTCCCTTCACCATCTGCTGCTGCACCCGGTGACAGGCCAGATTCGAAGGGAAAGGAAACAAAACCCGATGAGAGGTCAGAGTCCGAGGGAGAGGAGAAGAAGGCGGACGAGTCCAAGGGAGAGGAGAAGAAAGTGGGGATTGAGAAGGTGCCAAAGTACATGAGAAGCCTAGGCACTGAAATGATCATGGGTTTTGAGTAATTTGTAGTAATGCTTCTTGTATCAGAGTAAATTTATAATTTGTGTCTAATTTGTAGTTTTTGGCATGTCAGTAAATTTTGTGTTTCTTCACAGATTTACCTTTTGTTTATGAGTTGTAAAATAAAAATGCAGATGATTTTACTTTTGGTTTTTCTGTAATTGATTGGGATCATCTGCCCCCCCCCCCCCCATTTTTTTTGTTTTTTTTTGGTAAATATGTATTTATAATAATGCTGTCATTTTTCCATATGATCTTGATTTCTAAAATAATCACAAAGTTAGAAATTAAAAATAATAATATTCTCAATAACAAAATTGCCAGTATAAATTTAAAGTTAATTTAAATTTACTTTATTATTATTTTGTTTTTTAAAATAACTTTATTATTTTTCTTAAAAAAATAACTTTATTATTCATTGTTTTTTAACTATAATCAATTAAAACATATTTCTAAAACAGACATTAGGATTGACACGTGTCACTTCTTAGTGCTGTTTTTTCTTGTAATTTTTACCAATTTATTTATTTATTAATTTTTTTTTAAAAAATATCCATTGATTGATTAGATACAAGATTTTAATATTTATCAAATTAGAAAATCATTAACTAACACTATACAAATATATTTAGGTCACTAGATAGTGTAATTTTTTTTTTATTATTATTTTTATTATTATTATTTTTTTATTATACCAACCGATGCACGGAGCTCACTAAAGGGAGAATGGCTAACATAGCTCTTAACAGAGGTCAGGTCCCAAAGACTGCTACTAGGTGATCCCCAGTGTCACAATAGCATATTTAATAATAATGGGCTCTTCTTGCATTATTTTTGATGTTGCATGTGTGTTAGGTGGTTTGGTTAATAGTCCTCCATATTCTACTTCAAAAGAAGCAGCTTGTCTGTCAAGTTAACAACCTGAAATGAATGACACCAAAGACAAAGATAAACTTAATATAACTCATAGTGCTAACTGCTAACTATCATATAACTAATGTCAAGATAAATTAGGGATAGCCGTTTATGATTTTGTTCTAGGATATCATAAGACCAAGACCTATAAGAGCGTATAGGAGGACAATATTGCAAACCTAATGTATACCATTCGAGCCAAGAATACATAGCAATAATTTTACTTTTAAAAAAGGAATGTGAATTTTTTGAAGACTTTCCATCTCAAACTAATTTATATAGCTTTTGTGATTTTTTTTAACATTCCCCTGATTCCCCTTTCTCACTCTCCATTTACGGGTTTCTCGGTATTTTGACAATTCTACTCTCATAATCTGTAATTAAGTCTAACAACAGAAACAATTAAGGTTTCTGGCAATTCATGATCCATCAACACTTCCATATGCACACAACCTGGGGTTGAGTGAGCATTTCTGAATATCAGAGGGTCATGCTTGAATATTATTAGATGTGAGATGAAGTGTGTTTCTAAATGAGGTTGTTATGTCTTGAATTACCTGTGGGGTGTGGCATATTTTCGTTATAATACTCAACTCATAAACAGATGGATGCCTGAGAATCTGAGATGCTAGTCTTTGAATCAGCTTCCTCGATAATTTGTTAGCATATTCAACAACATTGTCTTTTCAGCAGCATGTTTTACATTCTTCTTGCAGCCTATATCCTTAGAAACTTATCCTACAGACCTACAAATAAATGAAGAATGTCAGTCTCACAGCTCATATACCTACAAAGCAATGTACTGAAGACCAAATGAACATTTGAACACTTGAATTTAAGAGAGACTCATAAGCTACTGAAATCACTCATTTGGTGAGATGAGATTCTTATATTGCATTTATCAAACAACACATTATCTTTGTTGAATTATGAATATACATAGTGAGCTGAAAGGGGGCTATTGACAAGTACAAAAATCTTGTTAGAACTTACAAGTTTTGACAGGGATGAGAGTTTTCTTTGAGTTGTATTCTTACTATAGATGATTCTGTAAATGATGATCATTCTCTCTCTAATAATCTCTTGTGGTTGTTTCTCAGTACATTGTTTTCTTTGAGTTTTCTTTGAGTTGTATTCTTACAAGTATTTCTTCACCGACTAATTTCTCAGTACATTGTATGACAACCATGATCGTCATTTTTAAAAAAAAAATCTTTCTAATACAATTAATACACGACTCATAATTTATATAACAGAGTTCACATATTAAATGAGAAACAACAAATAAGTACCCGAGGACACGACGGAGGTCAAGTCTCTATTACATCCTATATTGTTTAGTGACTCCAGGCATTCCATTTAGTAACAATCATCAACTACCAGCAAATGACACATAGGATGGCATCACTTACTATCTGAGTATCAAAACTTCAGTTATTATACAAAATAATATAATTCCAGTTTTGTGATCCTTCAAAGTTGTCCTACTAACCTCAAAATCTTCATGATCAGGTTAAATGGCATACTGTAGACACCTGATTATGTCTCCCCAAAAACCAAACCCAGTGATGAGTACCTTTCACATCTTTTATTATCGAGTTAGGTGAAGAGTTGAAGATTATCATGAATTTCCCTTAAGCCTTAACCATTTCTAACCTTTCCTAAAATGATTTAAACCAAAATCATTCATTTCGTGTCTTTGAAAATAATTCATTTCGTGTCCTCTTTATAAAGACGTCCAAACTAGTCTATTTTGGTCCATATTCCTGGTCCAATTATTATTTATTTAGATGGGATTTGAAAGGATCTTTCCAACGATATATTATAAGCCCAAATCCGACTTATAACGAGGAAATTAACTGAACCGAGCCCAAACAGAGCCTTACCTGCAACCCAATGATTATGTGGAGGGTCCATTAACCTTAACCTCATTTCTAAACCAATTAGGATTTATTATAAGGTTCTAGAATCCTCTAGAAGATTGTTTTCGATCCTAAATCTATTACGATTTATTACAAGCTTCTAGAATCCTCTAGAAGGTTGTTTCGATCTTAAATCCATTAGAATTTATTAGTAGCTTCTAGAATCCTCTAGAAGGTTCTAATTTATCCTGTTTTTGAAAAGATAAAGATTTAAGAATTTTACACCGAATAAAACACTTGTTTTTCAATGATTTTAATTCTGATAAAATTAGAATACGTACGGAAATTCGATTAACCCAATTTGATTGGAAGTCGGATTCCATACGGATTCTATCTTCCAAAACCATCATTGAGCGATAAGCCTATCGCGTCGCGATGGATCCTGTTTTACTTCGAGTCAAATACTTACTCTTTTTCTAAACTTCAACCCTCTTTTTTCCCTTATAAATAGAGGTCATTTTACCCCGTTTTCAATCATCAACAAGCTTGATCACCAACAATCATCATCTCTTTCCCTCTCTAAGCTAAAGCTTTTCTCCTTCTTAGCCTAGGCTAAACACATCCCAATACCTTCTTAATATCACACATCATACCTCCTTCACGAGCTTCGAATACTACAAGCCATACTTGAAGTTGTCTTCGACCTCAACGTGAGAGGTTGATAATTCTGAGGGTTTGGTCCCTAATCTATATTTCAATTCTTATTTGATTTATTTGGTTTATTTGATTCAATCTTTCTTGAAGTTACTAACGTGTGTATTGTTTTGATAGAAAAAGATACAAGACATCAAAGTAAGTAATTCGATTACTTATTATTCTTTTGATTCCTAGAAATCATGTTAGGATGTTGATTTTGATTCCTATTATCATGTTTAGGATGTTTCTAATATCATGTTTCCGGTATCATGTTTAGGTTAATGCTTTGATTATGATTTATTAATGACATGCTAAGGTTTGTTATTAATCCGTTTAGTATCATGCCTAGGATCTTGCTAATCATATTTTGATGTTTTGATTATGATGATGATTTGTTGTGTCAATTGTACATTGCTTGATTATTCATGAATAATTGTTATTGTTTGATCACGCCCTTTCTGCAGGCTCAAAGGGAATTTGTACTTGAAATCGCGCCTAATAAGATAATTCATAATTTGATTTAGGTTAATATGATTTTAATTCAAGTGATTGCTTATTTGTGCATTAATAATCAACCAACGTAGACTAAACAGGTTTACGGCTAACTTGATGTATGTATGTTTCTCGGAAAGCGCACATGAATATCATAAAAATTAAGTAGAAGCCGTTTTAGGGCGGGTTCAATCTCTTTTAGGTTAGATTCGTACCATCATCCCCGAATATCCAGTCATGGTTCCGGACCACTATGGAGTTAGCGATCTCCGTGATCGTGAATGGGGTGTAACCTTTACACCCATGAACGGTTTACAAGTTCCTAAAACTTGTTGGCGACTCTTTTATCTCTAGCTTCCTTCCCTTTTGACGCCACCATGCTTAAATAAATGATCATAGTGGTGCTCAAAGTTGATGTTTGAAAAACTTTCTACACATACTAAGAAGTAAAAAAACACTAGAAACATATATATATATATAAGAAAAAAAAATTATTTGCTGCTATTAATTTGCTGCGTTTTAGGCAAAGCGCAGCAAATTAAACTAAGTTTACTTTTACATGATATTTATTTGCAGCGGCTTTAAGCAATAACCCCTCCTTTTAAATCGAAAATATTGATTAGTATGGGTTATCTATTTTAACCGCTGAAAATCAATAATCTGTTCTTACCCTAAACCCTCATTTTCCTACCCACGAATTCAGTTCGTTCTTCCGCTTGAACCCTCTTCCACCCTTTTCCCTCTTCTTCTCTCACCCACCCTAACTTTCGCCGAGTCACCGGCCACAGTCGAATTCCCCTCACTGGTTACCGTCGAATCCTCTCACTCGCCCTAAGCCTCAACGGCCATCGTCCTTCCTCATTAGCACTGGTTTTGCTTATTCTCAGGTGAATCGCCGACTCCTTTGTGTCCGGCCTTCCCAATTGGCGTCCCCGACGCAGCTACCTCGAATCTCCAATGCTGTTTATGTAAGAAATATACTGACATAAAAAGCAACTATTGAACAATCATTTCTGCTTAGGCTAACTTATATGAAGGTATGATTTATGTCCTTTGTTTATATTCTTCAATAATGTATTTACCATTTGCCGTGAGAATGCCATATCTCAAACATACTACATTATAATATCTTCTGCTTCTTGAGACTGCCCTGCTTGCACCGATCGAGTTTCATGGTGTTTGTTTCAGATTAAGGT